GGATCGTGACCGAGACTATGACCGCGAGAGCCGACGTGACAGGGATCGCTCTCGCAGCCCTGATCATCGGTATATTTACAATTTGGCGCTCCAGTGATGCACATGCTAACCAGACGGCAGGGATCGTGAGCGTGACTCCAAGGATGACCGTGATGATCGTGACCGACGGGAGAACGGTACGAATGGTGACGAACGCAAGGGTATGTTTTCCAATTCTTGAACCACTTGACTTTGACTCACTCTGGGTACAGTTCTGGACAGTCCCCCTCCTGCTCACGACGATCTTGATGTTGCCGAGTAGACGACTCTCTGACAACAAGAGACTCCTTGTCATTTCTGAACAGGCTTCTCAAGTAAAAGTTTCTGCGACCTGCTTAGGGCCGGCGTAGCTCCCTATTGTTTGACAGGTCCACTGTGTAATATTGTTTGAAAGGCCCAGCCAATACGGCATGGAACGTATAAGATTCTGCGGATGCCATGCTGGGTCGGATATGGGTGCATTTTTTTTTTTTCCAAGACTGAAGGCTTTTGCCATGGCGCGTTTCCTTTGGAAGTTCTCATTTCGTAGGTAGTTTATCTGTAGACTGTTTTGTAACACGATTCGGCGCAACGGGTCAACGATCTGTCTGTATCGCATAATTCTTGAGCCTCATTTGCAGTGATACTGGGGGGTATGCACCCGATGACGATGACGTCGTACATCTCAGAGCTGTGACTGGTTCCGTTCATGCGGTCGCGCTACGGAGAGTAAGGGTTATCATGGCCAGTCACCATGAATCTTGTGTCTTCCCAGCCCCTTGCCCCTGCGCCTAGCTCAAAGGAGTCTGATCAATGGCTGACTTTAGTGTCTAACTAGGTAGCTATTCTTCAGTCGGCGCCTCTCAGATTCCACCTTTAAATAAGATTCATCAGAGACGTACTCCGGCATGTAGAATGGGCACGGGATAACGTTCCAGGGACACCACATTGGGCCAGATGCGAACAAGACTTGAATAGTTTTATTCGCACAGAACGCCAGTCTTTACCAATGCTGCCAAACCTGCACCGTTCATATGATCACTTGGACACATCTGCTGGTTGTCATATGCTCTATACTTACCCTGTAGTCACTGATCCGGCTGCGAGACCTTTGTACCCCACAGTCAAGCGTTCCTTCTCCTTCTCTCGAGCGGAAATCGGGGGACCACGCGCGCGCCCCGAAGTCATCCGCAACGCCGGCTCACGCGCCCCCATCCGCTCCTTGACGACGGCACCGATCCCGTCTCCCGTCCGTCAACATCCTCTTGCCATCATCGACCAAGGCTGTTCGTATAAAGACGATACCTGCCCAACGGCTGACGGACCTGATCGCCAATAATCCGCCCGCACGCCCTGCCGTGTGTCGGTTCTGGCGCAGACTGGAAAACTTGTCCCCAAATGGTTGCTTTCACTCTATCCTCACCTCGACCTTCCAGCATGCCATTACTATTCTTTCAACCACAGTAGCAATTGGAGACACAATCGTTTGACAGGGAATACCTAATACCGGAGACGATATTCAAGTTTTGAGACCACCCGCCACTGTCGCAATCGAGGTTGAGATCTAGCAACTACTTTAAACCCGGCGCTTTCAATAAAGACGAAGACCAATTGCCATTGTCTCACATACGACGCAATACGTTCGCCCGTCTCCCGTCGCCATGTCCACCTCCACCGTACGTCATGCATGCGCCGATCGTTGTTAACTTGGATGCAGTCTTGTTGCAAAATCATTTTTTCTCATGAAAGATTTGCTAATCAGGTATTATAGACACAACCAGACATGGTCAATTCGACCGAGGCTGCGGCCCCTAGCCGCTCCATGCAGTTTCGGGAGACCATCTCTCAGCCAGTGATCGCCGCATTCTGCGCAGGAGGTGTTGCTGGCGCTGTCTCCCGAACCGTCGTATCCCCCCTTGAGCGGCTTAAGATCCTCATGCAGATCCAGAGCGTCGGACGAGATGCGTACAAGCTGTCAGTAGGGAAAGCCCTCAGCAAGATGTGGAAGGAAGAAGGCTGGAGGGGATTTATGCGAGGCAACGGCACGAACTGTATCCGCATCGTCCCATACTCTGCTGTGCAATTCAGCAGTTACAACTTTTATAAGCGGGTATGTAGTGCATCAGGGGCGGTTCACCCTCATACCCACCAAGCTAACACATACGCAGAACATATTTGAAAGTTACCCGGGTGCTGATTTGGCACCGATTACTCGCCTCATCTGCGGTGGCATCGCTGGTATAACGTCCGTCTTCCTTACCTACCCTCTCGACATCGTTCGCACACGTTTATCCATCCAATCTGCAAGTTTTGCCGAGCTAGGAAATAGGCCAGACAAACTGCCTGGTATGTGGACTACTCTGGTGCAAATGTACAAGACCGAGGGTGGCATGTCTGCTCTGTATCGGGGCATTATTCCTACAGTTGCCGGAGTAGCACCATACGTAAGCCCCTAGTCTCCCTGCATTAACATACAAGTTTCAAGAACTGATTGACCCTTCCAGGTCGGCCTCAATTTCATGGTTTACGAATCAGTCCGGAAGTACTTGACGCCAGAAGGAGAGCAGAACCCCAACGCAACCCGTAAGTTGTTGGCCGGTGCCATATCTGGAGCTGTTGCACAAACTTGCACATATCCCTTGTAAGTAACTCTGCTGTAATTATGCGATCGCCTTGCTTATAGAGCACAACAGCGACGTTCTACGGCGACGATTCCAGATCAACACCATGTCAGGCATGGGCTACCAGTACAAGGGCATTACAGATGCAATCCGGGTCATTGTGATGCAAGAGGGAATCAAGGGACTTTACAAAGGCATAGTGCCTAACTTGCTCAAGGTCGCCCCCAGTATGGCATCAAGCTGGCTAAGTTTTGAGATGACCCGTGATTTTCTCGTCGATCTCAGGCCTGAATCTGAGCCACGCTCCTTGTGATTTTATATAGATATGTGAAGATAGTTTGTACTACAGAAGGGGTTTTCTTTTCAGGCATGGCTTTTGGCATTGGGGGAAAGAACAAAAACGGAAACGGACTGGCGCAGTCATGGGAGACGTCAGGACGTAGATTTGTACAATCATGAAGCAGTTGGAGCAAATGGTACAAGGCTTTGGTGCGAGGCCTGTCATATACATTACTGGATGATGCATAGAGGTTAAGAAAGATCTGGCGGCGGATACGGGGCAGGGACATATGAGTTGATAGACAAATTACCTTCGTAGTCCCCTATAATGGAATACTTGACTGGCTCAAGATAAGACCTTCATGTCTTCCCTTCGGGATGTTAAAGGCATGTTTGCATCATTACCTGATAGATCTATCTCACCACCACAGTGCTGGTAAAGTCATATAACGACTTCACAACTGGAAAATCTATGAATTATTCTTACCTGAAATGAGGATATAAGTGAGGAACGGGCCTTGGCCAGAGATACTGTAGTAAGTACCTCCTAAGGTCGATGAAGTAAGATACCCTGGGTACAGGTAGGTAGGGAGCCCCAGACCGAGGTGAGTTCGGTGACAACGGGACCCGCCCTCAAGGTGACCTAGAGCGGTTAGGTCCATTTTCCATGGTCAGTTACGGGGAAAGCACCCAAACCCTAACTGCCGTCAATGACCGCCCTCAATCGGGAGGAGCGAGTTGCACCGACCCACCATCCCAAGGCCTGAATTTTTTCTAAGGAAAGTGTTGTTCGACGCATCCGCCTCTATACCCAACATCGCCAAATTTCACAGCGACAACCGCCGCCATGGGTACGTGAAGATATTGAAGTTCAGCCTCTGTATGCGAGTAGAGAAGGAGTGCACTATCGTGCCTCTTTCTCTGCGACCAAGGCACCATCTTGTTCGCGAAAGCGCAAGACAGAGTTGCCCATTTTTGAGCATGCTTGAACCAAAAGGCTGACGATGGCTTCACCTCACAGGTATCGATCTCGACCGCCACCACGTCAAGGGCACTCACCGCACTGCCCCCAAGAGCGACAATGTCTACCTCAAGCTCTTGGTGAAGCTCTACCGCTTCCTGGCCCGTATGTCCAACCCCCCACCTGAAAGCGCACAAACCCGATCGAGAACTCTCAGTTAACCATCCCGTCACATCGTCTAGGCCGAACCGACTCTTCCTTCAACAAGGTCGTTCTCCGACGTCTGTTTACGTCCAAGATCAACCGCCCTCCTGTCTCCCTGTCCCGAATTGTCGCCAACATCAACAAGGAGGGCGAGAAGCGAACCGTCGTCGTTGTCGGTACCATCACCGATGACAACCGCCTGCTCGAGTTCCCCAAGGTGACTGTCGCTGCTCTGCGATTCACCGCCACTGCCCGCGCCCGCATTACCGCCGCTGGCGGTGAGGCCATCACCCTGGACCAGCTTGCTCTCCGTGCTCCCACCGGAAGCAACACCCTGATCCTCCGTGGCCCCAAGAACGCCCGTGAGGCTGTTAAGCACTTCGGCTTCGGTCCCCACAGCCACAAGGTAATATCATCCACTTATGGCGCTTCGGTAACAATCTCTAACACCCCCTGCAGAAGCCTTATGTCGAGTCCAAGGGCCGCAAGTTCGAGCGTGCTCGTGGCCGAAGACGTTCGCGCGGTTTCAAGGTCTAAGCGGCTGGTTGGTGAAAAAAATTGGCCTTGGGCGGAGTTTGGGCCAGGTTATGCGGCAAATGATGCCAAATTACGACTGGCAAATGGGTCTTGCATGGAATTGGCGTGCCTAGGTATCACAAAATTCTACAATGAAATTCTCGCGCATTATTGCCGTCATGATGTTGTTGGCTTCCATGTGATGGTATATCGCACGCCCCTGGCACAATTTTTCTTAAAGGATTGTAAGATAGCAAATCCAATGCCGCATGATTCCTACAGATACACATGTTGTACACATCCACCGAGGCCTATTCGTCTATGTCTGTGGGTTCTATCGTAACACCATGTTTCCTCCGTAGGCCAATAAAGTATGCTTCCCGGCTCTCCTACCCAAGGAATTAGTAGGTTATATCGAGGCCTGGAGCATCATGTACCTTTCTTGAAGAATCAGGCTTCTCTCTGAAAACCTTGGTGAAGAGAGTTTTCAACTTTTTCTCGAATTCCTTATCTTCGGGTCCCTGGTAGAATTTACAGACGAAATGTCCCCCAGATCGAAGAGTGTCGCTAGCAAACTGTAGAGCAGCAGCGCAAAGGTCCTTTATGGAAGTGTCAGTAGAGGTTACTCGTGATATGATTCAGGAGCCCCTACCATACTGCCCACATGGTCACGGAAGCCGTTTCCGCTCGTGTTCATCAACCTATGATAGGGATTACTCAATGTCTTCACGCTAAAGCCGGTGGTTTGCTCCCAGGGTGCTGACATGTCACTCAAAACAACCTGCGAGAGCATCAGCATCTTGAAAGGTTTTCTAGAAAGAGGTAATCGACAAACATCGACGATGCGCTTGCTTGGTCCTTCTAGACCAGATGCTGGTGGCTCGTTTTGCCCCGTGTGTCGCTCCATGTCGAGATAGCTAGGGCGGTCGACCGTGATACCTTGGTCTGTGACAGAGCTGTCGGATTTCTCAGTTTCCTGACCAACAGGTGGGTTCTGATGGCTTTCAAGAATGAAATTTTTGACCATCTCCTGAACAACTGGCGAGAGAAAATCGCCCTGAAATGTAGCTACACCACGAGGCGGCTGGGCTGGGATGAGGTCGATACCGATGACCCGGCCATTCGGTCTCGTCCTTTCCACGGCAACCTTGATTTGTCAACAATGCTGTTCACTTCGATGGCACAGAGACTTACCTGTGACCAACTGCCCGGTGCATATCCCTTGCGGGAGTGAGCTCAACGATCCACATGATGCTAACAGAATGAGAGGAGCAGTGGACTTACCAGGTCAACCACTGTCTGCCCATTGCCTTTGAACAGCTTGTACTTGGAGTCCATCTAGCCACTATATTAGCTTGTACCGACGAACGTCGATGATTGGAGTAGAACTTACTTCTAGGAGCTTGAAAGCTGCTCGGCTTTTGAGCCCTTGAACCTTTGCACCTCGTGCATACGCATCACGGCCCTGTCGCTGTTTCCAACGAGACCCTGATGAGGACCATCGGATCGATTCAGCTGCTGGTAGTGAATGAAGCAAGCATGGGCTGAACTTCCAGCCCAGGCTTGGGACCTTCGAAGGCAGTCGGATGTTCATCAAATTCGACGAGTTGAAATAGACATTCGTGATGGTAAAACTCTTCGTGACTAGCCGTGAAACACAATTGTCGGGGGCAGGTTCAAACGAGGGTCAGCGCAATACTGACAGGCACTTTGGTTGTGATATCAGTATCTGAGCATAAGTAGCTTGGTGTAATAATCTTATTTACAGTACTGTTATTACTGGTTGTAGAGACGGGAGTCAATAGTGGCCATCCAGCAAAATCGCTTGATACCTACCTTACCTTGAGGAACTAGGCTAACCTATACCTTAGATTGACATATATTCGAACGTTTCCAACTTTGAAGGAATCAGAGTGCATGTCAATATTGAGCCTGAGTGAACACCAGACACTAATGCAGGGAAGAAATAATCATTGTCCCATTTCAAAACCTTTGCGCCTACCGAACAATCCTTAACCTAATACCGTCGCTATTTCAGATAACAAACAGTACAAATGCAAACGCCATACCATGCGATCTCCACATCTGCCACCTGTTTAATAAAATAATCATACACTTACTTTCTTTAATGTAAGAAACTAGCTCCCACTCCTCGCCTATCCTTCTTCAAAGGCGAGAATGTTGCTCCACCGAATGCACCACGAACATTTCCCAGCGGTGCCTTGAGCCTACGCCCAGCCGCCATCTGGATCTTTGCTGGTCTGGGAGCTGGTTCCGCCTCCTCATCGTCGAACAGAGTCTTGTTGCCGCCTCCAAGCTGCTTCCGCTTCTTCTTGCGTGTATCTGCATCATCGTTTCCATTTCGCAACGACGCAGTAGCAGGGTTAGACTTCAGCAGTCCCGGCACCTTCTTGGGCTTCTCGATAGGTTCAGTTTCCGGTTCGTCAGCCTCGTCAACTTCGGCTATCATCTCGACTCTACTAGAAGTCTTGGCTACCTTGGTCTTTCTCTTTGCCTGGACCGGCATGTTCTTCTTGGTTGTTGGCGCCTCGTCCAGGGCTTTCCTTGGTCTGCCCCGGGCCTTTTGTGCTTTTGGCTGCTCCGCTTCCTCGGCGACAGCATCATCTTCAGCTTGATGATCTGGCTCTGCAGCCTCCTCTATGGGCTCCATAGATATAGAATCGCCAGCTTCTGGTCCAACATCTTCAAAGGCAACGGGTCCCGAGGCGCCTGTAGACTTCCCAGTGGGTGAGTGAAGTTCGCTTAGCTCATCTGACATGTTCTCCGAGAGATTCTTGGTACGGTTCAAAAAGGGCGTGATTGAGAACGTCGACTTCTCTCCTACCAAGGCGCGCTCAGCACCTCGTTTCTTGGAAGGCCGTCTCAGGGTTGCCTCATCTGGGCCTGGGGTTCCGATGCTGATATCTTCCATGCTCAAGTCCTGGGCTCTCTTCTTTCCAATGGGATGTTCCTTCATCGTGACATTCTTCTTGCTTGACTTGTTAGTCGCCAGAGCCTTACGAGCTTCCTCCAGTTCAGCGCGACAAGACGCGAGCTCAGCTCGTGCTTCCTTGAGGTCTCCCTGCGTCTTCTTCAGTTTGCTCCTCGTATCCTCCACGCGGCCTTCGAGCATGTCACATTCACCGCGGACTTCCCGTAGCTCTCTGGAGTGTTCTTTCTTAAGCTTCTCCAATTCTCTTTTCGCTTCGTCCAATTGTTCCTTCACTTGATCATTGTCATGATTCTTGGATTGCATGCGTTTTTTTGATCGCTTCTCATTTTCGAGTTCAACCTCGATCGAACTAAGCTGACGCTCGAGATCCTGCTTCTGGGCGATGACGGCGCGATGGTGTTCGAGTTGCGTCTTGAGGTGTTCAATCTCAGGCTGGATCTGGTCAAGCTTATGGCTGAGGGCGAGTTTCTCCTGCAAGACCTTGGTTGAGTCTTGTCTGAAGTCGTTCAAAGAACTGATTTCGGTCTGGCTTTGTGTCAGGCGGACTTTCTGATGGCCGTGTTGTAGATTATACCCTACCTTGAGGCCTTCCAGCTCGTTGCCCTGTTTTCTGAGCTGCATTTCTTGGGCTTTCAGTTTCTCCTTCGCCTCGGCAAGCTCAGCATGCACATCTTTCCCCTTTTTCGTGATCTGCTTCACGAGAGCATCTCGTTGGACCAGCCGATCCTTCAGGGACGAATTTTCATCGCGAAGCGTCAAGAGTCGCAGCTTTAGGAGACGAGCTTCCTCATCACGGCCTGTGAGGTCAATCTGATGGACGTTGTCTTGGTGTCTCAACTCAAGGTCACTGATACGAGCCGCGCGCTGTGGTCTGTAGTCAGTTCTGCTGTTGGGAGAAGCTATTTCATGCGTGTATCTACCTCTGTGGACTTGGTCCTTTTCATGTTTGCCAATGTGATGCCGCTGATGAGACAGGTTTAATGCAGTAAAGAGGAACCGGTACAACTTTTGACAGTTGAGTATACTGAAGCCCTGGCAGATGCAGAGTCTAACAAAAGACTGACATGCAAGGCAAACCAAAGTCGAGGTGGAATAAAACGTTATGGAAGACAGCCGAAGCCAACCTAGGTGCACTACCTTAGTACTAAGGTAGATATGTTTTGGCGACTGGTGTAAGCGTAAACATGTTGCTGCATCAAGATTAGCGCCTGTGCTATCGATAATACTCTCACGTGACCGAAAGCTCACTCGTCCAATGACGCCGCGGTGGTCCCCGCCAGCTCGAGACAGGAGCTTAGGTAAGGCGCTTTGCTCGATTGAGAGGCCACCTCAGCTTCACTGGCGTTATAGCTACAGCTTCCACAAGCAAGGTGGTAGATATAGCTTCAACGGTCTCCTACTTCTTCACTTACGGGCCAATTGGCCCCCTTTTTCTTCTCCTTTGAACAAACACCATCTCTTTTTCTTGTCAAAATGCGTTTCCTACGCTCACTTCTCTCCTTTGCCGTTCTTGCGACGGCCGTGGCAGCCGCCAAAAAGTCCTCCACTGAGCGGTTCGATGAATTCCATGCCAAACAGAGCTCGACACCGCTCAAGCTGAAGGAATCGACTTATAAAACCCTGACCTCTACACCAAGAGACTACAGCGTTGCTGTGCTCCTCACCGCTGCCGATGCCCGGTTTTCTTGCCAGCTCTGCCGCGAGTTCCAACCTGAATGGGACTTGCTGGGCAAGAGTTGGGCCAAGGGTGACAAGGCCGGCAACTCGCGGCTGATTTTTGGCACTCTGGACTTTGTTGATGGCAGAGAGGTTTTTATGTCGGTATGTACTCTGCAAGATCGAAAGCTGTAATGTCAATTTGGTAGCTGACGCTATCAATGAAGCTTGGCCTTCAAACTGCCCCTGTCCTCCTCTTATTCCAGCCCACCGTCGGTCCCCATGCTGCTCAAAAGCCAGAGCCACTGCGATACGACTTCAGTGCCGGGTGAGTAGTTTTGTCCATGACCCTTCTAGACGACTGACTAACAAACAATTTTCAGACCCCCGACTGCCGAAAAGGTTCACTCCTGGCTGGCTCGTCAGCTGCCTGACCGACCTCATCCTGCTGTCAAGCGACCTTTCAACTATGCGGGTTGGGCGATCACCATAACTATTGTCCTCGGAGTTGTTACTGCAGGTGTCGTGGCTTGGCCGTATGTCTCTCACATTCTGCAGAGCCGCAACCTCTGGGCAGCCTTGTCCTTGATGACTATTCTCTTGTTCACCAGCGGCCACATGTTCAACCATATCCGAAAAGTTCCCTACGTTACTGGTGACGGACGTGGTGGAGTTAACTACATCGCGAGCGGTTTCCAGAACCAACTCGGCTTGGAAACACAGGTGGTGGCAGCAATTTGTATGTCTCGTCTACTCCCCCCTTGACTTTGTTCCTTCTGCTGACTGCCTTTTCTAGACGGTGTCCTATCCTTTTGCGCGATCTCCCTCGCTATCAAGGTCCCACGAATTGCTGAAGCCAAGTCTCAACAAGTTGCAGTCATTGCTTTCGGTGGCGCCCTCTTCCTTGTCAATAGCTTCCTGTTAAGCGTTTTCCGTGTCAAGAACCCTGGCTATCCATTCTCTCTGCCGCCCTTCATGTGAAATCATAAGGTAGGATGAGAATGGAAACAGCCGCTGAATGTTTTGAGAGAAGATGACGCTGTGGACCAGCAGTCACTCAGGATCAGGAGCATCCTCGTTTTAGGGAGATGACGTGTCTTACGGCGAGTAGAAGGACAAAAGCATGTTGTATGATACTTCCCAAATAGACCTTGCTTAGAAATGGCGGATAAGGCGTCAGTATCCTGTGTTCCTGATTAATGGCGCCCCTGGTTGCAGCTCTGACGTGAAGGCATGGAAACCTTCTTGCCATTGTTGCCTCTCGGTTGAAATAACGGAGGCCAGTGTCACTGTCACAACATCACATCACGTCTCTTGCCAACAATAGACGAAAGATCACTTAAACGATGAAAATATTTTGAAAACTCGAGTTCTTTATTGGAGAACAAAAGGATGAATCCCGGTAATTTCAGGGGCTGCCTATAACCATCAAATGCGTTATGCCCTCGTCAGATTTGTAGTCGCCCCCCTTCCTTTGCATCAATAAAGACCAAACGAGGAAGCCAACCATTTGACGCCCTACCAATGATCTACCTTCTTCCGCTCGCCTTCGTCACCACGCCTCTTTTTTAGGGTAGAGCAATTTATGCCCTCGACATGACACCCCAGGCACGGATGATGTTGTCAGTGTAGCCAGCGAACAGAGTCTGGCCATCAGCAGACCAAGCCAAGCTGACACACTCAGGCTCTCGGCTCTTCTTGCCGACAGCGGGGAACTCAGGCTTGAGCTCATCAACCTTGCTCTTCTTCTCAAGGTCGAAGATGATGATGCTGCTGGCAGTGGCAGCGCACAGCCAGTATCTGTTGGGGGAGAAGACAAGGGCGTGGATCTCGTCGTTGGCGTTGAGAGAGTAAAGGTGCTTGGACTCGTTAAGATCCCAGAGCATGGTGGTACCGTCCTTGCCACCGGAGGCGCACAGAGAACCGTCGGGGGAGATAGTGACAGTGTTGATGTAACCGGTGTGGCCGATGTGGTCAGTCTGGAGCTTGCAGGTGGAGAGCTCCCAAACCTGGACAAATTGTCAGAATTAATCAAATAAATGCATATGAGCAGAAAAATGGAAACGAGGGCTATGCAAAAGCTGGGATCAGGGCAATGGTGAATAGTGGTCTCATGGCCTGCGTGAACAGGCTCTGAAGTAGCAAATACTTGGGTTGCAAACATCATGTGAAAAGCGAAGTTACAGGATCTGTCTTGTTTACTGACCTTGACGAGCTTGTCCCAGCCGGCGGAGACAATGACAGGGTTCTGAGGGTTGGGGCTGAAGCGGACGCAAGAAGCCCACTCAGTGTGGCCCTTCTCGGTGATGGTGTACTTGCAGTCACCGAGAGTGTTCCAGAGCTTGATGGTTCGATCGCGAGAACCAGAGACGATCTGGCGGTTGTCGGCAGAGAAGCTGACGGAGAGGACGTCGTTGGTGTGACCGACGAATCGTCGAGTGGTAGTACCGCTGGCAAGCTCCCAGAGACGCAGAGTCTTGTCCCAAGAGGCAGACAGAGCGTAGGCACCGTCAGAGGAGATGACCTAGTTCCAACAATCAGCCGAATCCTAAATTACACCTGCCCGCCAAATTGCCATGGTGTGCGGCGGGGCACTGGGAGAACGTACACAGTCGGAGACGATGTGAGAGTGGCCGTGGAGGGATCGCTTGGGGTAGCCGTACTGGGACTCATCGCGAGTGAGGTTCCAGATGATCAGGGTCTTGTCTCGGGAGGCAGACAGGAGCATGTTGGGGCTGGAGAAATGTTAGTTGAGTGGCCTCGAAGCAAAAGCGTGACCAAGGTTGTTCTCGACGTACTTCTCCATGGAGGTAGCCAGACTGGTGACCCAGCCATTCTGCATTTAATAGTCAGCCTTCGGTCCTTGTTCCCTCTTGGGTTATCTATCTCATCCCACGATGCCAACTGCAGACATCTTGATTTGTAGCGGGTCGTAGCCAGCGACAGTCGCGACGCAGCAGCTGGCACGGCAGCGACAGGAGCAAGGTATCATGGGGATCGACGTACGTGGCCCTCGAGAGTGCCCTTCAAGATCAATTGTTCGGCCATGTTTGCGGTGACGAGGCGATGCAGAGGATCGAGGTGCTTGAGGGAAGAAAGAGAAATCAAAGGCTGCTCTGCAAAACCTAGGCCGAGTCGGAAGGGAAGGCGGTTGCGAATCGTACCTGCCCTTTTTTTTGTGTGGGTTAAAAATTAGAGAAAGTTAGGGCCTTGAGCTCCGCTTCGACATTAGCGGGGTGCGAGAGGCACACCAGGTACGTACCAACTTGCTCAGGCAGTCGGGTGGAAGACAGGTTTCTGAATTTTCCACATCAGTTGAGAAGTGTGGCGTTATCCAAGCTCAGGTGTGGCGTATATGTGGCTGCCTTTGTGACCGTCATGAGAGATGAGACAATACCCATAAGTAGATGCATTTCTAACAATGATTGGCGACGAGGCAACCGAAGGCAACACAGCCTCCAAGGTGGCCCCCCCTCAGTTCATCTGTTGGGACTCGAATTAGTCGGCAGTTCAAGCCAGAGAGTTTGAGGACCAACATACACACGCAGACGACGCAGCAACAATGGAGCTTAAAACACTATCACATTGTTGCTATCAGTCTAAGCATGTTCAGAATATGCACATAAAGGCTGAGATGAAAAGCTCGGAGCACAGTGTTGACCTCGATTCGTTCTCGTTCGGTGTTGTTCTATATCAGCATTCGCTCGCTCCATTGCCTTTCTAACCCAAAATAAAATGCAGTGAGCCTAGTAACGCCTTATGCCCTCCCAGCCAGAGTATTATATACGGGGTATCATGTAAGCCATTTTTGTCTGGACTCCTTTGGGTGTTCATGCCGACTTTTTTGCCAAGGCAGCTGAACGTTTACCAGCCTTGGGAACCTCCTTACGCGAGAACAACGCCTCGCCGTTGACGATCATGCTATGGTCGGCGATCTCCATCTGATCGGTATTCTCTCCTCTACCCTCAGTTGCCATAAATCTCTTCATCGTTGATTCCCAAAGACGAAATCGTTCTTTGCCATGTGGATCACGCTCAACTAAATTCTTGACCTCTTTCTGCTTGCGCATTTTGGATGCGCGGACTAGTCGTCTTAGAGCATCCTCACCCTGCTGGGCCGTCCTTGCGGCTTCCTCTCGTATTTTCTTCGAGTCTCGAATACTAGTATCCTCCTGAGGAGTGAACTTGTACGTGTGTTTGCTGGGAAAGTCGGGAAAAGAAGAAGGAACATAATCTTTCTCATCTTTGTCTGGTTGTCCACTGAGCTCCTCGCCTAGAAGGGGTAGGGTCGTGTATGCATCGAGGTCCTCGGGTAGTATATCGACATAACCGGGAAATAGTTGTGTTTTTGAGACAGGAGGCTTCAGGTGCGGTTTCAGCGAGGAGACGCTAACATTGTGCCGTCGTAGCGCATGCTCGAAGTCGGTTGGGATAGGATGCTCGCGGCGGGCAGCGAGTGCGAGGGTTTTGGCAGCTTCAATCATGCCCTCCAGATCTGGAGTGTATTAGTTATGGAACGCCGATCAGGGAGCTGCAGCCAACGACTCACACGTCTCTACCATCCCTGTGAAGCTCTCCATTGCCTCGGGGCTTGCTCCCAGAAACCCATCGTGGTTGAGAACCATTGCGATCGAACGCTGAAGTCCCGTTCTAGCTTGATAATGCGGATTCGGTACCGAGGATTCAATCGAGCGAGACTCTTCATCCTCGATCTGCATCGTGACGCTTTCCAAGTCTTGGAAGCGAGGGCGTTTCGGGTTAGGCTGTTGGTCCTCGGCAGGCGATAGACTTCGTTTGGGCGTCATTGCGACGATGCTGTCAAATACAAGATCGCGACGCGTGTTGGCGCAAGAGTGGAAAAGGTATTGCTAATTTACCATGCGAAGGCTATATATTGTGACGCCTTTTTAAATCGAGATCTCCTTGAGGTGTAAGGTAGGTGATGGGAAGCTAGGAAGAGATTACTTGAGTCGTTAGTGATAAGGCTGAATGCACCTTTGTGGTATTTGCGGGAGCTCGAGTAGGAGCAGTTCGAGGTTGGAAGCTTTCCTCGGTAGCGCGCCCGGAGAAGCTTCGGCTCATACCTACCTAGGTATCCATGCTTCTCCAGGTCCTCATGGGAACCACCACCTACTAAGCTACATACAACAAAGGATGGCAAGCTCTCTCACCATTGTTCATGTATGCCGTTATTATCATTTACGGCATTCGACAGCCCATTGACTGGTGGAAATCTATAGTAGTCTGGCACTTGGGACATGGCATGCGGTATTGTTCAACATAAGGTACCTTATGGTGCATCGTGATAGCTCAACCTTTATGGGTCTTCCAGCGGGTTCCCACTAATACCTATCTTTGCGCTTCGAGTTGCTGACAACCATTATTGATAGAATGTTGATTACCTAGTGATGACAAGTACGTCATGAATGAATGTCCTAAATTCTCACTCAATCAACCAGGAAAGGGCAACAGTGCCTGTGTGTGTGTGAAATTAATAGCGGCATTAGTAAGGTTCTAGACCACAAGATCGACGCCCGTCGTTCAAGTGTCCCAAACTCGCAAATACAACCCAACCCAACGCATTGTGACCCATGCTAGCCATCCATGCTTTGCCATGCTGTCTCACAGCTTCTCACATGCAAGTCGCCAGGATTGTACAAGCATACATGCCAATCGGCTAACCAACTGAAAGCTGGGCAGCGGACTGGCTAACGACTTTGACCGACACTTTGAAACAAGCCTTTTAGAGAAGAACTGAGCCCTGCATTTTGAGGTTTGACGCCGTTGCTTGACCTGAACGAATTACAGGGGTCTGTCAGAAGTGACAGGCAGATCGATAAATCAACCACCATAGACTACTCCGTACGCAGGCTCTCACTCTATTAACTCGCTCAGCTAATACGCTTGCTTCAACGTCAAAGCGTATCACGACAATCCCAATTTTGGTCATTTCCACAGATACTTACCCAGGTACGCTACGGCACACATTGGGGACTCTGACGGCAAAGAAACAATAAGCTACGGCACCTCTTTAGTCGGTTCGAGGCCCTTCGATCTTTTGTCCTCACCACCTCTTACCAACACACACCTTGAAAAACAGTTGATACCTGAAACAAATGTACGACTCAGAAACGATACAAGCCTGGACCGAGCTGCCGATTCTCTTGTAGATGGATATATCTATCTATCTATCTACCTTACCTTACTTATAATCACCAAGTAACACAAGACCATAAGAGTCCTAAAAGGTACCTATTCAGATGACCCTTACCCTGCACAATTATTCAATTCCCTTGCCGCATGCATCACAAAGAGTTTGGCTTCAATAGGGCCCTAAAGCCCGCAATATCAAAACCATCAATCCCACCCTGCCCGTCTATGGCCATATCTTGCCTCAAATACCCAAGGCTGGACTTTCGGATGTGTCATTGCATTGTCCAACATATTAACTCGTTTTGCCAGCGATACAGTCAGTTCCCTTTTGTATTGCTTCCACCTTCAACATGTTTCCTTTCGACCAAGCTTCCCTGCCTCAAATAACAACTCGCAAAGCCCTCATTGGCGTGGATTTTCAGCATGACTTCATATCCAAGGATGGTGCTTTACCTGTCCACGAGCCGGAGGACTTTGTGGACCAGACTATCAAGCTGGCCCAGGCATTTCGAGGAGTCGGTGACGTTGTGTGGGTTCAGTCACAATTTAGTGAGACCCGACCTGTGCTTGAAGAACAAATCCTTGTAAGCGACATGGCGCCCAAAACACCACGAGCTTCCAAGAGAGGTCGACCAAACATCCCTGTTCAACCAATCGACGACGATGGCCCGCCAGATGAAGAGGCCTTTTTGAGCCATGAGGATGCTACGTGTGTCAAGGCGGACACGCCTGGCTGCCGGATAGCTTCAGCCATAGAAGACTCATTGCCCAAAACAGACACAAGGTTGACCAAATCACACTATTCAGCCTTCCAGTCAACCCACCTGTTGCGCATACTGCGTGCTAAGATGGTCATGGAACTCTTCATTTGTGGATCACTCACCAACGTTGGTGTATATGCCACAGCTCTTGATGCCGCAGGCCATGGAATGGCAATCACCATCGTCGACGACTGTTGCGGTTACCGATCAGAGTCCAGAAAGACTTCGGCAATAGCCTCTCTAATAGAACTGACTGGATGCGAAATTGCCTCGTATGACGAAGTCATGGAGGTGATACAACCCAAGTCCAAACCCCCCAAGTCAAGAAAGCCCCCGTCTTCGTCCAAGGCCCAGGAACAACCCCGGGCTGCAAAGCCAGACCATTCAAAAGATGAGGGTCGCGAGAAGAGCACTACCCCGGATTTTGTTAAGGACATGACAAGCCTTCGACTGGCTTCAAATCCCCCAAGCCCCGCATCAACACCGACTCAGCCCCAGCCAAAGGCGTCGTCGACAAGTGCAGCTGAACACCATGACTCAGAGGTCAGCCCGGAACCGAAGGCTGCAGAATCAAATGGTGTTAATCAGATCAAATCTACTGAGGCACTCAATGACATACATGAGCTGAACAAGGCCAAGGATTCCCCTATTAAAGCCGTTGTCGCAGATGCCATCAAAGCCGAACCAGATTCAGCATTATTGGACCATACTTCTCGAGGCCAAGAAGAAAGCACAAACAAAGATTCCCAGGATAATACTACACAAAATCCAGACCAAGTCATCGCCCCATCGTCTCCAGCCGAGACAAGCCAGAAAGAAGAACGGACCATTGCGTCACCTCCAGCCCAACCTTCCAGCAAGCACGAAGTACAGACAATGAAAGCACGACCAGACAAGACACAGGAAATACCTGAGATGGACAAACCAGCGGCTATACATGATGCCAACCTTCAACAGGAAGGCCTGTGCGAAGGAGATACCGACATCATTGAGAATGTTCTTCCTGAGCCATTACTCGAGGGCATTTTCGATAAGTTGCGCGAGGAGGTTCAGTGGCAGCGAATGTCTCACCAGGGTGGACAAGTTCCACGGCTTGTTGCAGTTCAGGGTGAGATTGGACCAGACGGGAGCATC